CAATTTCTAAACGCCAAATGCACTACCTGAGATGTCTGAAGGTCATGATCGGAGATGAGTTGTGGCAAGCAGGTGAGAATGGTGCCTAAACAGGCATTTTGAAGGACAATGGGAGGAAAGTGTTCACATATAGCCGTCAAGCAGCGCAGAGCCGCAATTCGCAGTATCCTGTCTCTCTTGTTGAGGCAGTTCGACAGTTCGACTACCGTCTCCTTCTGCAAAAGGCAAAGAAGTTCTTAGATCTGAGGAGCAGGAAAAACACAAACAAAACCCAGAAAGTTTCGCCATAGCTACGCTTACCAAGAAGTCTGTCAAGTCGATATTTAACTGAGCCCTAAAGTAAACAAAATACGGCACCGTAAAAACACAAATAAATAGCAATATTTTAATATTATATATGTTGAAATATGCGTAAAGATTCCCGGTCCAAATGTCTTTCTACGTTCATCATCTACAGAACAAGAAGAGGAGGGCGAGTTCGTGGACCGAATTGTATATCCACTGATGTTTTGGAAACCTTATCGCTTCCATTATCAGAGTATTGTACTTATATAGTATTGCCAGCAAAGATAAAGGAGACTGGAAAGGCCATTTTTGGATTATAAGTCGTCGTCAGTCAGTAATACCTAACGCCCTAACCATCGAACCACGAGTTCTTTATCTAGCCGGTTTAGGTCGGAAGATATTCAGTCGTTTAGGAACGTTCACCTACCGTTAACGGTGTTGCTGCGACTGTCTGCATTTTTGAATGCGGACTTGACAGTCTCCTATGAGCACCCTGAACATTTTCTTCTTGAAATCTGCCATCGTCCATTGGCGTAGGTTAGTGTTCACGGGCGGTATATATATGAAACCCATCAACTATAATAATCTGATGGTGAAAGTGAGCCTTGCCGGTTTTGATCAGGAGCATGCACTATGGTAGATGGGTGCTCGCCGATCGGTAGGGAACTCACTCGTTCCGTTGTATATTGGGGTCCGCTTAAATGTACGCCAGCAGCCACTTAAGAGCCAGCATATCATAGGCAGAAATACATAACGGAAGGGGACTGAGGCACATCTTCTCAAGTCTGAAGACAACCTGGGGATCCAGTGTCGAAAATTTACTGAATAATTTTCCTCATCTTCCTAAAGGACGCCTTTCCTTGAAATTACATTTCTTGGGATGCCTGCCTTCCAGTGTAGACGAAATATCTCTCATTATCCACAGAACTAAGCAAATAAGTTTCTTCAGAGACGATAACTAAATCTGTTCTGTAAATTTTCGACTGTGACTCCTCGGGTCGTTGTCAGCCGTGTGGTAGGTGTACAGAACACTTCAAATTCAAATAAAGTCTGAAAAATCCATAATGCTTAGTCATTCTTCCCAATAGCTGTCTCTTGGATTTAACATCTCGTTCGGATATATTATCATCTTTGTCCTGCCTTTTTAAGATTAATGTGCATAGCATCCAATTCGATGCACAAATCATCTTGTAAGCGACTTCTTTCTATCAAAAGAATCAAGAAGCGTTGAGAATTGACATAATAAAGTTTTTCAAACTTCTCTCAACGAATTTCCCTCGAAATATATAGCTTAATGTTAGAAGACGGGAAGGCGTTCTTTGGGACCAGTTTTTTTCATTTATCCTACAGTATGAACTCTCACGCGAGTCCATTGTCAAGGAATAACATATTAATTTTAATTATACTAATGATTTTAATTAAATACTAGTAAGCAATTAAATAGTAGTCACAAAAATAGTAGTAATAGTAAATAATAGTAATTCAAAATTGAAATCGGCTTACGTGCAAATTTTGTTTATGGCCCGCACAGTGACGAGACGCGTACTCTCATTTTTTAGACGAGAAAGGAGGACGTTGAGGCACTCCTTCAGATCTGGTTGCGGAAGACGGTCACCAAGATAGTTCAAATACACCGAACTGAAGAGAAAGAGAGAAAAACAACGCGAAGTATGGCATATCAAAAACTGTGTGCACATAGAACAGTACCTAGGATACATCGAAAGGCACTTACACACTGGAAACGGCCTTCTCTTTTAGTTCAAGGTCAGAATTAGTGGCCTTCAGTTGGATCATAAGCGCAGGGAAGATAGACTTCAGGTCATCTCTGGAATCTTTAACAAACCAAAGCAAACTTCTGCTGAGATCCAAGGAGAGGCATCAACGGGGCAAAAAGGGGAAAGCAGACCAACCTTTCGGTCTGACAGTTAACTCTTGCGCGAGGTCCATACCATCCAAGGCG